TATATATTGACTTTACACACCGGACTTATGCTGAAAATCGGGAGGGGGGGGGGGGGTGCTGGGAACACGCATATGCGTACCCTAAATGAAAAAAAGAGTGGGGGGCGGGGCACAGCCCGAGTGGTGGGTAGTGCTTGTCGCAGTAGCTTCTGGAAAGGAATTTACTACTAGTGTTACTGTTATTGGCCCAGTTGTGACTATACAAAACATATTTGGGAATGTATCAGTTTGCAACAAAAATGGAGAAACGCGCATTTTGTTGAAAATCACGTGACATCACAAAAATGTATAAATCACTTGTATGAAATTTTTAAAATAAGTCATGGTTGAATTTCATTGGGGGGGGCTGGCGCCCCCCAAGCCCCCCCACCAGTACGCCAGTGCTTTCTCATATACACTTTGGTGGGAGTCTTGTAGATTGATGGGCAAGAATGCAATAAATCTCTTAGAATAACTAAAGGTATTTTTTGGGGTTATAATTCCCCTTTAATTTAATAAAAACAATTTTATGAAAAATAACAACTATAAAATCAACAGACAGTACAGTGTGATGTAAAAAGGCACTCCAGAAGACAATTTATAGTGAGAATACCAATATCTTTTCCATCCATGTATTACAGCTGATTGCTCACTAAATACATGTATATAGAATTACAGATATAGTTTACAAATAGTATTAAACTAACAATTAAGAACGCATTTCTTTTGACATAATCCTTGATGTACGCTCATAATGATTGTACAACATTATATGCAAAAGTATATGTTTTGTAAGAAAAATCCAAGGGGGATTTCCCCAATCCCTTACCAGTATGTTCAATGTTTACCTACAGTGTAATAAGCCCGTATCTCATCTTAGAGAAAATAAAGCCAAAAGAAATTATGCAAGAGTATTGGCAGATCACAGTTTATTTCATAGAGTTCAAATTCAAGAATATACGCATGTACAGTACTTCGTATATATACATTTGTCTGTTAATCAACATCTTTCACATATCTACATGTATGCAAACACACTCGATCGATATCTTAAACATACATTTTTTTTTAGATATAAATAAAAATCATATATAAACAATGATTAAGGAGACAAACTATTTCAAGGATTTGTGAAGACATATTTTAGCCAAGTCATATTTATAAGTTTGTATCTTTAGAAAATGCCACAAAAATGTTCTTTTTTTACTTTGAATAAAATTCAGGGGCAGGAGAGGTAGTTTTCACTTATTTCATCTATGATTAAATGGAAACCTATTCACAGCCATACAAGCATTTGTATAAAAAAAAAGAAGCTTATATTATAATTTGATGGAAGTTTGAGCAACTACAAGCTGGAGATAGTCAAAAGATTGTTCTATCACCTTAGTTATTGCAGCTGATCAGGTTATCCACCTGACTCCAAAACTACCCCCCCCCCCCATTAAATTTCCCTAACCATACGACTATGGCCGGGAGACCTAAATGTGGACATATTTTTACTTTCGAAAATTGAATCTAATCGTATCGATGCTGAATCTGATTGCAATGTGTGCACTAGGTTTAAACTGAAATACATGTACAGAAGATTGGAAAGTTCATGTTTACAGTTGTAAACGGTGTATCATGAGACCCATCCATTTTTGTCCTACAAACAAAAACATTTACGATATGATTGAAGGATTTTATTGAATATTATCCATTCTCGCAGTCCAAAGACTGAATTGCAATGGTTAATTACAACAGTTTACAATGTACACAATTACACATGATAAAAGCAAGTATGCAATGATTATTAAAACAGGCAAAGCAATCAACATTGAAATTCAAATAAAAGTGATCAAATGACAATAATAATTGCAACTATCGTTAAGTTTGATTAATAAGTAATGAAAATCTTAACTAAAACATTCTAAAAATATACTATTGAAATTAACATTAAGACCCTTACTATTACGAATTTGGCATGCCGAATAATTACTTTGCTTGAAGATCCAGGACCTTCTGAATTCTTTATCTGAATACCCTGTGTCCGGGGAAGATACATGTATTAAGCTTCTACATATGGGCCCTGTTTCATAACTAAAATCATTGCATTTGATTGGCTGATTCGTTACAGAAATGTGGCAGTTGTCACATGTAATACTACATGTTATTATGATAGTATTCAACATTTCATATATATATAGTGCCTTTCATAAGAAACAAAGTGCATAAAAAGACAATACTTACAAAGTAAAAGAACATTATCATACAAAGCATACATTGATTACAAACAAAGAGGAATAGTAAAATAAATTAAAATAGATGTGTTTGCAGACATGCCTGCAAGTTACAATCAACTGTTATGAGCTACTAAAATCATTGCATTTAAATTTGCTGTTAGAAAATTTGTTACAGAAATATGACAGTTGTTACTAATTATGATATTTAATAACATTTCATTTATACATGTAAAGCGCCTTTTCATGATATACAAAGCGCATAAAAAGAAAATACTTACAAACAAAGCAAAAGAACATTATCATACAAAGCATACATTGATTACGAACAACGAGGAATATTAAAAGAAATTAGAAAAGATATATTTGCAGATATGCTTTGAAAGCTGCAAGAGTATGGAAATTCTTTCGAGAGGGGGTCAGGAGTTCAGGGTTTTGAGGCAATAACTGAAAAAGCCCTATCATCTATTTGTTTACTGGTTCAAGGGAGGGCAAGTGTGTTACTAGTGGCCGAGCATTTCTTATTAGTTTAATGAGACAGAGCCAAGAGCAGGGAGTATCTTGTCAATCAGACATAACACCATTAGATACCATTAGAAACTGCCATCAGGACCGGAATAACCCTCATAATACACACTCACACTTGACTCACAGTCACTAGGCGAGTATTCTAGAAAGAGTTGTACTTCCGAGTCTGAGTAATCTACGTCCCCTGTAACAAGAACAGACAGATATCTTGGTACTATGCCCTCATGCGGGATCTTGCAGCGAAGGATTGTTCTTGCTGCTATTTCTTGAAGAGGCAATGTTGTTCTTGGTGGGGATAACAGGGTCATAAGCTCTTCATTTTCTGGTGAATCTGGATCAAAACGTCTACTTTTACAGATCATCTCTTTCACTGTCAAACCATCAGCATTTCGCGCTTCAATATCGCATCCATTGTGGATAAGGATCAGAGCAGTTTCCTTTGTGAACTGCTGTTTGGCATATTGAACATCACCCAGTAACGAATGCAACAGTGAGTTCCCATTACTGTCAATTTGAGTTGCATCTTCACATCGCACCATCCTTGAGATTAAGCGCTTCATACGATTCTCTTTCACTTGCTTTCGGCGGTACTCTTCTTTTCCCCCCCTGTTTTTGGAACACCTCCAATGCAATTCATAAATGCGTTCCAAGATATGGTGAGTGATTGATGCACAAGATTTGTCGCCAATTTGTCTTCTAATAACTCTTACCATTCTTTCACCAAACTGAAGCAGTGATTCAAACATATTCTTTGACTTGGCAAAGTCATAGAGAGCAATATCGAACAATAAATTGCCAACTTCCTCCATCAAACCCAAGCTCAGCTTGTGCAGACGGTCCTGGGAGTCTTTACTAAACATCTGAAGACAAAGATCTAGCAACTTGTAACACTCATCAACTACTTCATCTTTAAGTTTTTTGTAACGGATACCATTCACTATTTCTAAAATGACTGATCCAAGCTCAAGTTTCGATTCCAGCTCCAACTGTATAGATTCTCTACAGATCTGAGAGCCTTGCGACAGTGTTTCCTGGTTTCCTCTCTTGTGAAACATCACGCCATCAAGCCCATGTTGGAATACTCTTTGCAAGATGTAGCCATCTTTTATTTCTTCTGGGAGCACTCTTTCTGCAACCAAGAAGCACTGGTTCTTTAAAGACCAATGATCTGACTTGGTGTTTTCCCAATCTTTCTTAGTCTTGCATTCCTTTGTTTCAGAGAAAAGAGAGAAAGAAGCAGTTGCGTCAGACTTTCCATGATTCCTAAAGGATGTAATACCACTTTCCTCTTGAATAGACAGAGCTCTGCAGAAATGTGTATATGGGTGGTTTTCACCTGTGCATAGAGGTGCATAGAGGTTAGTATTAAGGCCCAGTGCCACTCCAAGAATTTCATAAACTCTTGCCTTTTCTGCATCGGACAATTGTAACTCATGGGTTTTCCCCTGGACAAAGAATTCAACGATGTCTTGGAAGTTGTAAATTGCTGCGATACAAGGAGGATCGAGTCCATTTGAGTTACATATCAGTGTTGCGCCATGATTGATGAGAAGTCTGAGGATCTCCTTTCTTGACTGCTTGTCCCAGATAATGAAAGGAGTTACAATGTAAATCTGGAATATTCTAACAGTTGTAGCCCACAGAAGCACAGTGCATTGGTGTGTTTCCATCTTTGGAGCCCTTTGCATTGGGGTCAGCTCCATGATCAAGGAGGAGCTGGACCATTTCCTTCTTATCTTCCCCACAAGCGATCATCAGAGGCGACCAACCACGTTCGTCTCTAGCATCCAGATCAACATTTTGAGTAGCAAATATTCCTGTCATGTCATCAAGACTTACTGGATTAGCCAAATACATTCTTGAAGCTATAAGTTGAGTGGTTGCTGGTCCTGGTTGACAGATGCCATTGTCCATCAAAAGTTTCACTTCACAGCAGATCTATAATGGAAAACAACAAGATACAAACAAAAAAACAACAATATAATTGATAACAGACATTAGGTTTATTTTTTTACCATGTAAGAAGGGGTTGTCCTGAATAGGACCAGTAAACCTGATAAGAGTAGTTTTAATCTGGTTTACAAGTCCTTTCCAGGACTTCCAAATGTTCCTGTTGCCATGGAAATGACTTATACTTTTGGAATGTGCATATAGCGTCTATAATATATATCATACAAATATTCATATCAATAATATCATTTTCAGATTACCTTTTTAATTTGTTTGTTATACAACAGCATAAGCAATTTCACTTCCGGGTCGCATAAATATCACGGCCGAAAACTGACACTGGTGGCCGAAAACTAGCACCCGGAAAGCTTTTGCAATTATCGTTGTTGCCATGGAAATGTGTCGTGTCGTAGTAAGTTGAATATACTATTTATTAAGGAAGGATATATATCAACACTTTATGTCATAAAAATGTTATTGTTTCTATTAACTGAAGTAAAAAGTACAAAAAATGCTTAAGTGGCCGAAAACGGGCTCCTTTTCATGATGTTGATGATCTGATGATCGACAGGATAGTGAGTCGGTCTTGTCTTCGATTCTGATGATAGGTCTATATATTGTTATATGGCATAGTGTCAGCTCGCTCGGGACTCCTGTCCATAAATCTCTCCTCGGAGCCCTAGAGTCTAGACTAGCCCAAATCTGACAGCGAACTGAAGTGTTTCAAGACACGGTCCGAGCTGGTAAGTGCAGGCTCGGTCCCACATACCGATTTTGATGAATGCTCGTATGTGTGATGGCGTCGAGTAGACTATATGGCAAACAATGCCCAATCACACTCCAGCAAAGCATAGCCAAGCATAGAGAGTCATACTCATAGACAGAAATAACCATCTGATATGGGTCATTTCTTTAATAAAACTGATATTTGTTGACATTCCCCATATATTCTAGGGTCTACAGACGGTACTACAGAGATCTCATAGTTACGATGATACCGTGGGGGTAATCTGGCCAATCCAGCTGCCACTTAATGTTGGGCTTCAACTTTTGTTCAAGTATAATTACTTATATGCCCCTCTGCAGCAGGATTAATATCTGTATGTACTGGGGATTGCGCCTACGTCAGAGCTTCGGACAATGCAATAGCAAGGAAACATTTCTTTAGGGTTGTACATGTCATATTAGGACATTGTACATCATCATGGTACATTGTCCAGTCAAGATGCAACCTACATGTAGCTCTTGCCCCTCTGCCTCCCTTGCATATAATGAGAATTATTATTAAAGAGTACGAGTACAAGAAGATAGACCTGGAAGCTCGACTGCTGTCTCAGCATTCTTCCAGTATTTGCGTTAAAGTAAAGTAAAGTATGTATTGTACTGTACTCCTATTTACACTAAATAATATATTAATTGACCTATCATACAAACGCGAAAGTTTTTGACTTAGACCTTATCCAATTTTTTTCTCTGAACCGTGAAAACGTACCGTTCATCCATTCAAATTAGTAATCTATGACATCAACCGGCCGATATATTTCCGGGTCAATCTACCAAAACATAGCGAATGGCCAATCAGAACACTCGTTTCGTATTGGGTTTATGATCTATTCATATATCACTGGGTTGACTCGTACGTAGCTATTGGACGTTCGAAAAGAAAAAATGAATATTCATTAATTAAAACCAAGATGGATGGCAACGAATCATGTCGACTACGAGACTTTCTCGGATTAATCATTAATTTAGGATATAAATGAGCAAGCTATCGTAAGTCAAAGCCATATTTGTTATTTTTTATATTTTTATTAGCCTGTTGAAGTATTGCAGCAAAAGTGCATTTATGAGGATGTAAAGAGTGAAAATCTTGTTGCATATCTCATTCATCGCGGTCCTGCTAAACCGAACCATTTGTTCCACTAGTACGGCATAGGCCGTACTTCATTCTATGTACAGAGGCGGTCAGTGGAGCCAGATGCAATCTCAGCGGAACCACAGTCGATATCACAGAGACTGAAGCTTTCGGTCTAAAAGAGTTAATGCTAATGCGTATTGCCCTCTAGCACTGCACTACGTGTTAATAGGCAGCATTTGAATACATGAATAGTCAATACACTCATGCACAGATGCACACTATCATGCCGATGCGGCTGATCGGCAAGTTTGACAGTGGACTCACAATTTGAATTTCTAAACATCGGAAAGTTTTAAAAAAAAAGTATTTTACTGTCTGAGCTTCGGGTGGTGCATCGAAAAACATTCTGACAGCGGGTTGGGCGACATTATCTCAAAATATGCAAAGAGAGTAATTACAATTTTGACTTAATAGGTTGCTCGACTCCTCTGGGCATCTATCCATCAACTTGAAATTATAATTTGAAGGAGTCTTCGATGGCAAAAGGGGGTGATTCTTCGTCCTACCCAGACGATTCCTCCATGTTGTATCGTCGATTTAACCAGCGAAGAGAAAGTATGCACTACCGCGCATGCATACTTTCCCTTCGCCTGTTGAATCGACGATACAACATTGAAGAATCGTCGGGGTAGGACGAAGAATCACCCCCTTTTTCCCAGGGAAGACTTCTTCAAATTATAATTCTAAGTTGATGGATAGAAGCCCAGGAGTCGAGCAACCTAGTAAGACAAAATTGTAATTACTCCCTTTGCATATTTTGAGATAATGTCGCCCAACCCGAATGTTTTTTGATGCATCGGCGTCGGAGCTTCCCAGAGTTAGGAACGCCTTAGACCAGCAGTTAGTATTAGCCCCATCTGTTGGGGCTTTAGAAACATGCTCTAGCATGTACCACCTGCAATACAGGTTAGGACATGCAGACTACCGTCCTACTGACTTCAGAAGATTCAGTCCTGTTGGAGAGAACTTGTAAACCAGATTTAAACTGCTCTCAGGTTAACTAGTCCTATTTAGGACTACGATTCTTACATGGTAAAACAATAAACCCAATAAATGTCTGTAATCAGTTATATTTTGTTTATATATTGTCTCTTGTTGTTTTCCATTATAGATCTGCTGTGAAGTGAAACTTTTGATAGAAAATGGCAGCAGTCAACCAGGACCAGCAACCACTCAACTTGGCTTCAAGACTGGATTGGCCTAATCCAGTGAGTCTTGATGACATGAAAGGAATATTTGCTTCTCAAAATGTTGATCTGGATGCTAGAGACGAACTGCATGGTTGGTCGCCTCTGATGATCGCTTGTGCTCAAGATAAGAAGGAAATGGTCCAGCTCCTCCTTGATCATGGAGCTGACCCCAATGCAAAGGGCTCCAAAGATGGAAACACACCAATGCACTGTGCTTCTGTGGGCTACAACTGTAAGAACATTCCACGTTTAGGTAGTGATCACTGTCATGGCTGGGATGAGCAGTCAAGAAAGGAGATCCTCAGACTTCTCATCAATCATGGCGCAACACTGATATGTAACTCAAATGGACTCGATCCTCCTTGCATCGCAGCAATTTACAATTTCCAAGACATCGTTGAATTCTTTGTCCAGGGGAAAACCCATGAATTGCAATTGTCCAATGCAGAAAAGGCAAGAGTTCATGAAATTCTTGGAGTGGCACTGGGCCTTTATACCAATCTCAATGCACCTGCTTGCACAGGTGAGAGCCACCCATGTACACATTTCTGCAGAGCTCTGTCTATTCACGAAGAAAGTGGTATTACACCTTATGGGAATCATGGAAAGTCTGACGCAGCTGCTTCTTTCTCTCTTTTCTCTGAAACAAAGGAATGCAGGACTCGAGAAGAATGGGAAAACATTAAGTCAGATCATTGGTCTTTAAAGAACCAGTGCTTCTTGGTTGCAGAAAGAGTGCTCCCAGAAGAAATAAAAGATGACTACATCTTGCAAAGAGTTCTAAAGCATGGGCTTGATGGCGTTATCTTTCAGAAGGAAAGGAACCAGGAAACACTGGCACAGGGTTCTCAAATCTGTAGAGAATCAATACAGTTGGAGCTGGAATCAAGATTTGAGCTTGGATCAGTCCTTGTCACCATAGTGAATGGTATCCATTACAAAAAACTTGAAGATGATGTAGTTGATGAGTGTTACAAGTTGCTAGATCTTTGTCTTCAGGTGTTTAATAAATACTCCCAGGACCGTCTGCACGAGATGAACTCGCATTTGGTGAATAAAGTTGGCAATATATTGTTCGATATTGCTCTCTATGACTTTGCCAAGTCAAAGAATACGTTTGAATCACTGCTTCAGTTTGGTGAAAGAATGGTAAGAGTTATTAGAATACAAATTGGTGACAAATCTTGTGCATCAATCACTCACTGTATTTTGGAACGCATTCATGAATTGAATTGGAGGTCTTCCAAAGACAGAGGAAAAAAGGAAGAGTGCCGACGAAAGCAAGTGAAAGAGAATCGTATGAAGCGTTTGATCTCAAGGATGGTGCGATGTGAAGATGCAACTCAAATTGACAGTAATGGGAACTCAATGTTGCATTCGTTACTGGGTGATGTTCAATATGCCAAACAGCAGTTCACAAAGGAAACTGCTCTGATCCTTATCCACAATGGATGCGATATTGAAGCGCGAAATGCTGATGGTTTGACAGTGAAAGAGATGATCTGTAAAAGTAGTCATTTTGATCCAGATGCACCAGAAAATGAAGAGCTAATGACCTTGTTATCCCCACCAAGAACAGCGTTGCCTCTTCAAGAAATAGCAGCGAGAATAATCCTTCGCTGCAAGATCCCGCATGAGGGTATAGTACCAAGACATCTGTCTGTTCTTGTTACAGGGGAAGTAGAATACTCAGACTCAGAACTCTTTCTAGAATACCCTTTTAGCGACTGTGAGTCTAGTTCAAGTGAGTATGGTGAATGGGATAATTCCAGTCCTGATGGTAGTGAATCTGATGGTGTTATGTCTGATTGACAAGATACTCCCTGCCAAGGCTCAAATTTATTTTTTGCCCACGTGGGCTCTTCAAAAAAAAAAGAGCCCCCGTGAGCCTTCTCGATCACGGGGGCTCTTTTTAATACAAATTTTCATTACGTTGGTACCCATCTTACTCCTCAATTCTTAGCGATTTCATCATTATCATTTATTGAAGTCAGCATTTTCCCTCTTACAAATTAGTTAGGCCTGCATAGCTGTTACTGACTTTAATCCCATGATGACATTCTCTCGATTTCTTCCCGTTCTGCACATTATTTCCTCCTCATTATTCGGAGCAACCTTCACATTCTTTCATTATTTTAAGGCTTTACCCAGGGGCGGATCTAGCTTTTTTGCTAAGGGGGGGGAGATATGACCCAAATGCAGAGCATCGTCCATTATTTTTTTTTTTTGGTGCTATTTTGAACCCCCGTAAGTGATGTTTTCCTGGCATCTACTTACATCTACTAATACTGTGTGGGTCTGGACACGTAATGGCGTTTTTCTATGCACATCACACTTTCACTTGGCAGCAAAAGGGGGGTGTAACCCCCTTAAACCCCCCCCCCCCCCCCCCGTGACTCCGCCCATGTTACTATATCCTTCCGCAATGTCTTCCTATTCTTCTCAATATTGATTTACTGGTCGAGGTTCATTTTGCTGGTCTTTTTAAATCACCAGATATCAGAGGATTCACGCTTTTCACAACGAAAAACTTCTCCATAACCATATGTTTCAGCCCATGCGCGATCGCCTCGAGCTCCATCAGATATAGGGCGGCAGTGTGCATATGTACCGGTCCTATTGCCATTGCTGACGGCCGCATTGCACTGCGAGCTTCCGTTGTTTGTATCGGTAATACTCATAGAGATGGGATATATACCGCCATCCTTCGGCGAATAAGCGTAAATTTCTTTACAATAATGGTGGTCTTTACTCTCTAGACACCGACAAATTCAAACGAGAAATCTTGCACTCTAATCTAAGTTCTATTTCATTGGTTTAAGGTTTGAAATTGAAACTCAATATTGTGTTAAAGTTATAACAGAAAAGATAATCTTTATTTTATAATTCCACTGGGGCGATTTTTAATTTTGCAAACGCCCTCGTGAGCAATTACCTGACGGAGGCGATTATGTAGCTCACGGGGGCGAATCGCCCATCGCCCCCGTGTATTTTGAGCGCTGCTCCCTGCCCTTGGCCCTGTCTCATTAAACTTAACACTCGGCCACTAGTAATTGTTTGCCCTCCCTCGAACCAGTATGTGATAGGGCTTTGTTAGTTACTGCCCCAGAACCCTGAACTCCTTACCCCCTGTTCTAAAGAATTGCCATACCCTGCAGCTTTTAAGGCATGTCTGCAAATACATCTTTTCTAATTTCTTTTAATATTCCTCTTTGTTCGTAATCATTGTTTGCTTAATTGCTTTGTATGATAATGTTCTTTTGCCTTGTTTGTTTGTAAGTATTTTCTTTTTATGTGCTTTGTATCTTATGAAAAGGCACTATATATATATATATGAAATGTTGAATACTATCATAATTATCTGTTCTAAAGAATTGCCATACTCTTGCAGCTTTCAAGGCATGTCTGCAAATACATCTTTTCTAATTTCTTTTAATATTCTTCTTTGTTCTTTATCAATGTATGCTTTGTATAATAATGTCATTTTGCTTTGTAAATTGCAAGTATTTTCTTTTAATGAGCTTTGTATTTTATGAAAAGGCACTTTATAAATGAAATGTTATTAAATATCATAATTAGTAACAGCTGTCACATTTCTGGAGCACATTTGCTAACGACCAATCAAATGCAATGATTTTAGTAGCTGATAACAGTTAATTGTAACTTGTTAATAGACTTTTATGAACCAGGGCCAAGATTTAAAATCTAATACCTTCCCCAGAAACGCGGTATTGACATACAGAATTTAGATGGCCCTAAATCTATATGCAAAGTACATGTAATCATATCGTAAATTTTCTTGTTTGTAGCAAAATATGGATGTTTATATTTTACAACAGTTGTAAACATGCACTGTCAAAATTTCTGTACATGTACAGTTTGTCATTTTAAACCTTGTACACTTGTTGCAGTCCAATCAGATTCAACATCTATAGGATTAGATTCAATTTTTCGAAAGTGAAAGTATGTTCACATTTAGGTCTCCCATAGTCATATGAATAGGGAAATTGAATGGGGGGGGGGGGGGGGGGAGGGGAGAGGGGAGAGGGGGAGATTTGCATCAAATTATAATGTAAGCTTTTTCTTGACAAAGACTTGTATGGTTGTGGATAGGTGTCCATTCAAGCATACATGTAGATGAAAAAAGTGAATGATACGAAACTGCCGCCCCCTCTCTCACCCCTGAATTTCATACACATTCAAAAAGAAAAAAAATTGTGGCATTTTCTAAAGAAACAAACTGATAAATATTGTATGACTTTGCTGAATGTCTTCACGAATCCTTAAAGTGACTTGGTAACATTGTTGAAGGTTGATGACAAAAATTGCTTAATTTTTGTATGTTACTTTCTATATTCCTTCTACTATACTAACCCTCTGACATGCAAAAAATCCTGAAAAAATTCTCAAACCACGAATATATCTATTAGTACAGCGGATTAGCTCCCCATATAACGAGAATTGTGCACTTTTTGATAAAAGCATGAAACTTCTAGCATAGTTAGTTTAGACCATAAGATTCATTTTTAGATGTGGAGGGAAGTCAGATTTGACCTCTGATGACCCTGAGAGGTCAAATTCAAAATGGCCGCCAGTCCGCATGGTCTAATGTACAAACACGCTTAACTTTTGAACCAAATAGTCCAGAAAAACATTTAAGGTGTCGTTTCCAACTAAATTGAGGATGCCAATGCATTTGGTAATACTTTTGAGATCGCCAGATTTCGGGGTTTGGCATTTAGGTCAAGGTTAAGGTCAAAATTGACTAAAAATAGCAAGTTTTCAATGTTTACAACGAAACAAATCCCATTTATTTGTCATTTGTTCGCTCCTATGTTCTCAAATTTCTTTAAGAGTGGTTCCCCTGCAGACCATGAGATTCATTTTCAGAATGTAGAGCGAAATCAGATTTGACCTCTGATGACCCTGAGAGGTCAAATAAAAAATGGCTGCCAGTCCGCCGCATAGTCTAATAATTGTCCAAACACGCTTAACTCTTGAACTAAATAGTCCAGAAAAACGTTTAAGGTGTCATTTCCAACTAAGTTGGGGATACCAATTCATTTGGTAATACTTTTGGGTACGCCAGAACTCTGGGCTTTGCATGAAGTCAAGGTCAAGGTCAAAATTGACTGAAAAAATAGCAAGTTTTGAATGTTTACAAAAAGTTTTCCCATTTATTTGTCCCCCTATGTTCTCACATTTCTTTAGGAGTGGTTCCCCTGCATAGTCTCCATCGTAATCCCTGTCAGTTAGCTTATTTCACTAATTATAGCACCAAACCAGTAGTTGTCTTGTAAATGACCATATGCATATAGCATGGTCAGTGGGCAGCTAGACAGTATACGGTACAAACCTCAATTCAAGTCAGGGAAACTGCTCCTTTCCGTTACTGCTCAATAATACTGGTAAGATGTTCTTTAAGTTACTTTGTGTTTTATTTGGTTTAAGTAATTTAAATAATCGCTACAGAGTTTGAGGAACATGCCATAAAGCAAAACGTTTCCGCTAACACTATACAAACATCACCTTGACCAGCAACCTGGAGTGCAGGCAGCATTCTTGAGGGATGGGAACTTCTGACAGTACTGAAAGAGATGGGAAATCCATCTCTAGAACAAAGTCAAGACATACTAGTCATTGGCACAAGCGACATATCATGGACATCCAATTGGCTGAAACGGGGAGAAGGATTGAGACCCTAGGTGAGCAGTACACAAAGTTTGTGACAGAAAGGCTAGAGCAGTGTACGACACCTAGCTGTCACACAAACACTTCATACGAACAAGTTGCCATTTTTCAGTTGGCAGCCGGCGAAGGTTATATATATATGTTAAAACAGAAGGCACAGCTTGCAGCACTTAAGAGTGACTGTGGTCTCTTTTTGAGGATTTACATCTCGTGTCAGTCAAGGGATGGAGATATGGACAATTTCTTCTCTCATGAAAACCAGGCAGTCCCGCCAGCTTTGTTAACTGGAGGTAAATGCGGTTTGGAGTTAAAGCAGATCTACTTCGCTGCCTGGAATCAAATCTGCTCGAAAACAATAGTGCACCTGTGGCCCAAGCAATAATTATTGATGGTGAAGCTGTGGTTCAAATGCTCAACCCTGGAACATCAAGAACATTTCAAGAGTATGGAGGGAAAGTGTTTGCCCCATACATCTTTGCTCAACTCGAGAAAAGCATCCGCATCGACGTTGGCTATGGTGTATACTTACCTGCTAGCCTGAAAGCCTCAATAGGGCAGGAAAAGGGAAAGGGCACCAGGAAAAGGGTGGCTCCTTCTATTTTGCTGCCAGAATGCTGGAAGGACTTCCTTCGATTCAATGAGAACAAAACCGTATTGTTTGATTTCATGTCATGCGAAGCCGTTTACCTTCCTCTACCACAGGGCAAGGAACTGTATAATATGCAACAGATGGAAGTGGAGTACTCTGCTCTCCTGCTGAGTCACACTTGGCAGGCCTTGTCCCATGGGTGTAAAAGGGTACCCATACGTAGTGTTGGTACTGATGCGGTTGAACTGGCCGTGGCTTCATTCAGCAAGACAGCTCCTGATGCTGGGGATCGCTTTTGGTTTCAGATCAAGCTTACGGTACAAGGCTTTTCATAAAATCATGATAGTTGCAACCATGAGTCTGACACAATGTATGACTCTTCCAATCTTTCATGCGTTCACCGGGTGTCACACTGTTTCTACGTTCACAGGAAAAACTTAGAAGTCTTTCCCAGAGGTGAATGATTCCTTCAATGAACTCCTGTGCATGCCTAGGGAGGTCAGTGAAGGATCAATGTTACTGCCAGAGCGATTTGTGGTGCTAATATGACCGAACCAGTGAGAGCATGATAGTGAATGATGCCAGGAAACAGCTCTTCGCACAGAAGTCTAGAAACCTGGAGAACTTTCCTCCATCCCAGGCAGCACTCAAGCAGCACCTCAAGCGCACTTGCTACCAGGCCAACTGTTGAAACCAGATATTGGCCAAGAATCCAGAGATGCAGAGCCATCT